TTTGACAAACAAAATAAATGATCGAAGTCTTAATCATGGCAAATAAAAATAAACATAGCATGTGTTCCAGGAGTACAAAAGCCTTCACGGTTTACTTCATCAGTGCCTTCCTTTGATTCATACTAAATCTTTCACTTGAAAATTTTAATATAAGGAATGAGATCAAACGTCTCAGTAACTATTGAAATTTTAACCTATACAAGCAAACTATATATGATAAATAAAAATCCATTTATATGTGTACATATATTTATGTATGAAAATCATGAATTTTAGACATTCAACTCAAGTTCGTTTTTAAATTCAACAACATACCAATATCATTTTTCCAATATATCCAAAAATAATGCAATGTGCACCCTCTATATCACCATCCTCCCTTATACCACTGACTGGAGCCATAGGCTAACACATGGTCCAATAAGAACTAATTCATTTTACTGAATTATTCCAAGCTCACTGATACTGGAGATATATTTGGTTAAAGATATAGAGCTCAAGTTCGGACTATGGCTTCCCTCCTTTGCAGATAAAATAAAGAGGCGTCACATGTCCCACAACTCCAATAAATTTCCGGCCAAAGAAAAACATAAAAGAATGGGCCTTGATAAGTACCATCCATTGTGCACCGAGTGATGACAAACGACATGGTAATTTATATCCATATAAATCTCCTTCTATCCTTGGCCCAACAATAGAAATGTCATATTCAAATAATGTTACATCAGAAATATGTCATCAAATTTATTAAAATAAGATAGCAATAAAATTTTTATAGCATTTAACAGCAACTCATGATAATTCTATAGCTATCAATATATTTAAATATTGGTCATAATTAATAGCAATATATCTTAAAATCAAGTAACATATTAAAACATATATTTGAAAAATCATAATATTATATTTCAGTATGATATAAAAATTAGTAAATCAACAATATAATTATATACAATTCGCATGTACACGAAATAATTTTTAGAGTCTACAAAATTGTATATAAATATTAATATAAAACTCAAAACTACTCTAAAATTTTAAGAATACCCTCTAAACTAAAATTACAAAAATATATTAATTCTCACAAATCTAGCTATTTAATAAAGATAATATTATTTTGAAAATATAATTTACATAAAAATATTTAAATTTAATAACTTAAGCAAATATATTTTTATTACCAAAAATATAAATATTTCATATTAAAATCTCAATTATTTATTATATTCTCATTTAAAATTTTTCTCAAACCAAACAACCCTTTTGAATTATAAATAAACTGCAACTTTATCTAATTTCGTAAAATTCTTAATTTATAATTTTTCAAACCTTCAAAAATTATTTCAAAAATATATCTTTAACCTATTCAATATTCAAACTGATTAAAGTCTCAATAATATATTAAATAATCCAAATAAATTATTTAACTTAAATTTAATTGCTAAAAACATTTTATATGTTTTCAATAATAAATTTTTCAACTAAAATCTTAATTTGAAATTAGCAAAACAATCATTAAACAAATATTAACTAATTAAAATTCTTAATAATGTATCTTTAAATTTTCATGATCATATATCATCAAAAGTCACTATTTACTCTATACTCAAACTTAAAATTTTTTCTAAATATTATAATAAAACTAATAATATAAAACTCTAAATATATAAAAAAATATTCATAAAAAATATAAAAGAAGTATATTTATATACCTAAATGATCTCTAAATCTTATCTTCACCTTTAGACAGCATGTACCTTATTCTTCTTGATTTTCCTCACTGCCTATCACTCTTTTCTCTTCTGCTCTCTCTTCCTCTCGTTTGAAAATAACAACTGGGATGAAGGTATTTAATAACCTCACATTCAATCCTTCCACCGCCCCCACCCATTTTTTCCACTTCCATCCGTTCCTTCCCTCGTTTTTTTCCTTCTTCCGTCATTGACTACTCCTCCCCCAATTCTTCTTTCATTTATTACACTCCATTTTTTTCATCTCTATTCAAGGATTCCAAAAAGAAAATTCCGAGTGAAGTGAGAAACTGAGAATCATGAAAGTGAGATTTCCCTTTGCCGCGCTGTCCATTGTTGACTAGTAACGAGGAAGATGGTTGTTTTGGGTTTGAATAGAATCAGTGAATTGCTTATGAAACATGCCCATATATCTCAGCCATCATTCTATTCAACGCACATGCAATTTCATCCATGGCTACACTACTGATAGATCTGGATCCACTTCTTCATGAACGCTGGTTGAGATTACCACCTTCTTCTGAGACGCTGAGTTTTAAATATTCCTTCATGATCTTTATTATTTCTGAGGCATACCTATGTGTTTCTTTAGCGTCCAAGCTTGAAAGACTGGAGGCAACATATGAGCGGTTTCAGATGGTGAGAGTGCTTGCAGCAGCCTATATTTGGCGTTTGATGCAGTGTACAATGCTGGGGCAAAACAAAGTCCCTCCCCTCTATTACCTACGACGGGTTCTCCCATTCTATGACGTCCCCATTACTCTACTTTTTACCGCTGCTTTTTACTACGTCATTCCTGTAATTGCCAAATCCCCGACAGCTGATCACTTATTTCTGGTTGCATATCTTCTGCTCTTTATCATTATGGTTATGTGCGAGGTGTACGAGGTGCGCCATTTCCTCCCTTCTCTTAACAATCATTGTAGGGCCATGACAATCATATCCGTTAGCCGCTATTCACGCATACACTTGACTCCATAACAATGCATATGTTATACTTTGCTGATGAACATGCTTTCATGAACTTGTTCTGAAATATAATGGTTGCTTCAATGATCATGCAGCTGCAGAAACTGAAACAATATACAATGGTTCATCAACAGAATAATGATGCTGCTAATAATTCAGTCCCTTTTACCACCAACTGGCTGTGTCCTTTACATATTCAATTTACTGAGCATTTTGCGGCCATCCTCCTGGCAGCGCTATGTTTTGATTTAGTTGTCCAGCTTGAAAGCCTGGACGGAATATCAGCAGCAGCGATGGTCATGGTCCAGTTGCCTAATGAAGTAAATCCGCTGAATATGCGGAGGAAATCCAAGGGCTCTTCCGTCTATTGGTCACGAGAAGCTGTCCTATGTTATAACCTCCCAATTAGTGCAGCTATTACGGTCTTTTACAGCATCGTCCGTACATTCCCCAAGACCTTAGTCCTTGTACCATCTATAAGGTTAATTCGTCTGGCCTTGACGCAATGCGAGACAGAAGATCCTACTGGGGCCGCAGAAGTTGGAGCTGATTCTTCTTTAAACACTGACTTCGGTCATCAACAGAATTATGATGCTCCTCATTCAGTCTCTTCTACCTCAAATTTTATATGTGAAGATCCTATTGGGGGTAGTGGATTCGTATCTGTTCATGTTGCCCGCAGCAGGTGTGTATACAATTCTTGGATTAAATTCATATTTTTCATCTTATTTTCTTAATTTCTTAGCCAATAATTAATGAACTATGTAGACACTTGTGTGTCATAGAAAGCATGTACTGTGTTTTCCTCAGAAATTGGGTTCTGATCGTCTTCTCCAAATTCAGAGTAAAGCAACGGTTTTTTTTTTTTTTAATTTGTAATAATACACATATCTCAGAGATGATCCAATCTCATTCATGGCTGCACAACTGGGGGACCGGCCTCTTCGTGAACGCGAGTTGAGATTATCAATGCCTGCTACTGCGAAGCTGGTTTCAAGTTTGGGCATTGTGATATCTTTTGCTCCAATGCTCCTGGTTGAAGGACCAGAGGGAATATGTAAGTCCCTGGAACTGTATCCCGAGCTCACAGGTTTTGCGGTAGTGCAACTTTCAAAATGTATGCACATAAGATGGGCGAAAGACACGAGACCTCACGGCTATTGCTCCAGAGAAGTTGAAGGACTTTATGGCATGACATACACTGTTGTTATTGTTTTGTCCATCGCCTTACGTTTGCATTCGAAATCCTTATTCGTTGCATACGGTCTGGTTTTGCATCTTCTGAATCTCATCGTTAACTCTCTCTACTTATATGTGTTCCCAAGAGAGGCAGTCCACGAAATCCAGGTGGGTCATTCCTTCCCTTTTCTTAACAAGTATCGTAGAGCCATGTCAATTATATGCGTTAGCTGCCTATATATTTCTTAATTATAACCAAAACATGAAATGTGTAAAGTGTAGAAACTCTGTTATTTCATCTCATTCCATCGACACAGTACATTGTAGAGTATTTACAGAACTTCTCAGGATACAGTAGCAGGACAAGCATTCTAATAACCGAATATTTTTGTCCTACATGGTTTTGCTGAGCTGTGCTTTGGTGAAGAGGAATTGTACTCTGGTTAATATATATTAATCCTTACGCTTTGACTTCATTGAGCTACACAATACTTAGAGTTGATTCATAAACATACTTTACTGACGAACATGCATGCATTTATGAACTTGTTCTGAAATATAATGGTTGCTTCAATGATCAAGCAGGCCGCGGAACTGGAACAAAATATCAGCCCTGCCCAAGCCCCTTCTTTGAACACTGGGTTGTTTGATCAACAGAATTATGATGGTGCTCGTTCAATCTCTTCGACCACCTACTTTAGCCAGTGTGAAACAGAGGATCCTGCTGGGGCTGCAGAAGTTGGATCTGTTTCTTTAACCATTGATGAGTTGGTCGATCAACACAATACGATGACCCTCAATCATTCTCTTCTCCCTCAAATTTTAGCCAAAGGCCGAAATGGGATCCTCCTACTGGGAATGGTGGATTCGTATCGGTTCATGTTGATCCTTCCAGGTATTTTTATCTTTTTTTTCTTAATCTCATCATTTCTTAGTCAATAATTAATGCATTATGTGGACAATTGCGCAGCCATCAATGTGTTTTCTTTTCCGTTCTTGACAGAGTCTCAAGTGCAGTAGAGGAAGAAGACGACGACGACGATGATGCCAATTCAACCTCTGATGCCGCCAATTTTAGTACATGGGTAAAAGGAGAAATTATATGGGACTGTTTATGTTGCCTATAACAGGTATGAGTAAACTAAAATTTGGATCTTATCGTCTTACTTTAAATTTCTTAATGAGAAATATATGTTGGAAGCCTAGTCAATCAGCAGTAAACACTTGCTCGAAGTATAAAAGCCATGTCGTCTTCTTCATTTCTGACAGGGAAATCAAAAAATTATGTGCAGTCAAGGAACTTAAAGATGTTTTCAAACTTGAAAATGGAGAATCTATAAGAAAGGTATGGCTTATACATATTACTAAAATTTCTTTGTCACACATAAGATCCTTTACAAGTGACGATTTTGTCATTGAAGAATCAGAAAGTCGAGCCAAAGCTTTAATTTCTAGTGTGTGAAAATATAATATAAAAAATTAAGAATAAATTATGGAGTAGAGTTATAAATTAAACATTTATTGTAATTAAACTCCGTATTCCTCTCATTATTTTTTCTCTTAAAAAACTTGATATCTTAAAAAGAATCCAAATTCTCTTCCTACTACTTTTTCTATTAATTAATAAACATTATAATACCAAAGGATCCGAATTATGCTATACATAATTTCTAAATTCAACCAGACTGCAGGGATTATGATGTCATTGCAAGTCAATAAACCCTTTAGCTAATTTAAAAGATGGAGAAAGAAAATTATTTGCCTATTATTGCAATAGATTTATTATACATTTCACTGCATCAAACATTGCTAAAATATATTTGTGTTTTCAGGAAATCAAAATTCTCAGCCAACTGGAACATCCCAATATTGTGAAATATTTTGGCAATGAAATAGTAAGTACTTTCCCGATTTATTAGCAGAGGAGGAAAGATATACACAATTAATTCATGACTTGGTTCATGCATAATTAGGCTGGACACCACATTTCTTTATACATGGAGTACATCAAACCAGGTTCACTAAAGAAATATATATCAGAACGAGGTATTTTATGTGAACCTTTAATTCAAAATTTCACTGCACAAATTCTCTCCGGGTTGGTTTACCTGCATAGCAAAAGAATAATTCACAGGTAATTTTTATACTTGTATGGAATATTGTGTGATTTCTGGACATTATAACACATATACCCTGTAAGATAATTAATTTTTAACTCATGTTTCAAAATCACACTAAAAATAGGGTTGTCAAAATGATAAGTATATGTTGGGATGGTCTTGAGTAATTTATTTCCCCCAGGACAAAAACACTGACACACATTTCTTCTAATACAAATAGAGGAGGAAGTTGGGCGAGGTTCATAAAAACATAAGAGGAAGAGATAGGAAAAACAGAACAGTGATGATGGGGGATAGGAGAGACTAAACTAAAGAGGGGGATTCGACAGAGAAATGAAGGGAGCTAGAGATAAGATAAGAAGGAGGAGGAATAAGAAGAACTTAAGGAGGATAGAGAATAGCTAAACTATAGCAAAATCAATTTTCATTACCATCCAAGTCTATCCTAATAGGTACACACATATTTATAGGTTGAGGTTTCCAATTCTCTTGAAGAAACCAGCCGCTTGCTCCCCCCTTCCTTTCTATGAACTAATCACCCACTTGCTCTGCCATCATTACAAAAAGAAACCTACCTGTTAGCAATTTTAATACACCTAATGATTAAACAACCCACTTACTAAAGAAAGGAAAAATGGAAAGTAATAAAATATAAAAAAAAGATAGATTTTCTTCTGCAGAACGTTTCTTCAAAATATATATCATTCTTATATTCTATAACCCTCCCTCATTCTCTCCTTGTTTTCATGTGTATTATTATATAGGGACATAAAGCCAGACAATCTGCTTGTCGATTCTAACAACATCTTAAAGCTCGTTGACTTTGGTTTGGCTAAGCATGTAAGTTCTTGGATATCATGTTCGACATGCACTCACATGACAAAATCGGGGCCACTGGTTTTTGAACATGTTTAGGATCGAGTATGTGTGACCTATAGTATTGGTGGTTATTTGTGGCCTTTCAAATACCCTTGGAATTGATATGATAGTCCCAACAGCCAACAATAACTCAATTGGCTTTTCTGTGTTGAATAGTTAGCAGAATCTGCGGGCACGCACTCCGTATTAGGAACTCCATATTATGCAGCCCCAGAGGTGTACACTTACGTACTCTACATTATGCGTCACAAAGTATTTCTTAATAGACTTGTTTAATTGTTCATGCATACAGGTTCTTAAAAAAATAGAATACAAGAGCTCGCTTGAAGCTTATGCTGCTGATATATGGAGTTTGGGCTGCGTAATGATTGAAATGTTCTCAGGGAAGCATCCTTGGTCTGGTTTTGAACCGGTAAACACTTTTGTACTTCATTATATATAGAGATAACATTGCATTAGATTATATGACTTCTTAATGTGCATATAAAAATCAAAGAATTTAAGGCTTTGTTATTTTATGCTATAAATATTTCTTAAACAAATGAAGCAATAAAATATTCTAATCAAAGAAAGTCTATCTGTTTTCGCTTTACCCAACACAAAAATAACACATCTAATCTTAGAGCAGTGTGACTATAAATAAAGCATATAATAATGTACTCAAAGAACTAGCTAATCTTTAGATCTGGCGTTAATGCAAGTGAGAAACTAGGGTATACTTTTGAAACAAAATAATTGTGGAATTATATGAGACATCGTATCACATATATGGGGCTTGCATTTATTAGTTAATTAAGTATTTCACTAAAACAAATTCATTAACTAAGCAGCAACAGGTGTTCTTTAGAGTTTGTCTTAAAGAGGAAAATCCGGACATACCAGAAGGATTATGCCAAGATGGTAAGGATTTTCTGGAACTCTGCTTCGCAAGAAATCCGGCCCAGCGGCCATCTGCTGCAGCATTACTAGAACATCCCTTTGTAAAAGCGCAAACAACCTAGCCAGCCGATGGAAGAAAGTTTCAATGATTGATGATGTCCGCTTAAGTCTCGTTTGATACGAAGTATTGAAAATATGGGATTGAAATTGAGATTGAGAAAATATATTAGAAGAATGCTTAGCATGGAAGATTGCTTGTTACTTGTAATTAGACAAATCTATATAGGTGAGATTGAGTAGATTTTCTCAATCCCAATCATAATTCTTATATTGCATTGTCAATGCTTCATACCAAATGAGATCTAAGGGTTATCTCTTCATTTGTTTTGTGCATAGGAGCATTGCTGGCAAAGAGGGATAAATGATATTGCATGTCTAACACTGTAGATATAGAAAAGAGGAATCTAGATTTTTTTTTTTTAAAAAAAAAAGAATATTGGGCATTCCATTGTTTGGAAAATAATAGTTAAGTTTCAAAATTTAAATCTGATAACGGTCCGGTCTCAAGAAATTTTGATGAAAATTAAAGTACTATTGGTTTAAATAACTACCAAGTATGAAAGTCCAATTAAGTGGTAAATCAGAAATTATTAAGTATTATAGTTTGCAAGTTCAACTCTCACATTTAGAAGTTTTTGAATTATTATTTATAACTTATTTTTGAAAAAATTGTTTGGACACCTAAACCTTTGGAGTTCTGCTACATAGTTATCATCCTTCCAAAATATTAGCCACAGGGAACAGAGACAAAAGACGGCGAGTCCAGATCGGGAGTCCAAAGAGTTGGCGATTGTGAACCTGACAATTTCAAGAAGACGATTTTGGCAATTATTAGTTTTTTGTGGTTATTATATAAAACAGATATTGCTAAAGAATTATTCTTCTCAAAATAGCTTATCATTGCTCTGTTTTTACTGAATCCCAATTTCTTATCTTTAGAAATAGATGACGTGCCTTAACTGCTAATGTGTTCAGCACAATTAGTTATATTTCACAATATTTTTATATCCTATTTAATCAAATTACTTTACTAGTTTATAATACATTTTAAACAAACCACACATCGCATAGGGCTATAAATTAGTTAATTATATAGTACTACCTCTGGTTCTTAATGTAAGAGCTAGTTAACTAATTTGATTAAATTAAGAAAGTTCGTTAAGTTAGTTATTTGTAATAAATAGATGTTATCTTTTCTAAAATATCATTGCTAATCAAGTGTATTGACTAGAACTACCATTATTATAAAGACTGCCTTAGAAAAAAATAGATAAATATGAGAAACAAAGCTGATTGAGGTCTTATATTTATGATCAAAATAAAAGTCAAACGAGTTTTTATATTGAGGACTAGAGGTAGTAAGAAGTTAAGAACAACATGCACACACTATCGACTCTCCTAATACTTTGAGGGCATACTAATATTTATATATTTTTTTATTTATTAATCTTAAAAAAATTTCTCGTTGTGAAAATGATTTTTTCATTATATGTTGTCTGCGTGCCAAATAAGGCCACAGTTTAGTAACATATATAGTACTCTACGTCCAAATTCTCTTCATTTAGCTTTATTGGTGGTTCAATTAGATTTTTTATGTAAAAAGAGTTACATGTAATTATAATTTGATATAGTATGATATGAGATGACAATAATATTAAATAATCATCTTGATAACAAAATAAATTAGAAAAAAATTAATCTTTTGGTCCTTAGAGTTTTAAGTCATTTGTAGCTCAATCCTTAGACTTTAACTCGATACAGCTTAATCTTTATAGTTTTGACTTAGTTGTACTCAATTCCTAAAGTTTGATTCTATGCAATTCAATCCCGATAGTTTAGCCATTTATAAATTAGTCCCTACAATTTAGAACATAAAATTAGGAAAAATTAATATTTTAATCCCCAGAATATCATTCAATTTATAATCAGGTCCCATAATTTATATCCTTTCAATTAACTGCCTGCCTTTCAATCTGAGAATGGTGTTCCTTCTCACTATTTATAACTCTTTAAAATCCGTTAATTTTTTATGAGATGGCAAGTCAAAATCTGATTTGGCAAGACCCGCCACCCCTTCATCACTCTTAAACGAGGTGGTTCGTAAGTCCAGTGCTAATAAATATGAGGATGGACTTATCGAAGAAAATTGCAGGTTAGCTTTGTGTGATTTATGTTTTACTCCAGTTGTTATGGTTTAGATGGAAGAAAATCGGTGTAATCTGTTCGATACCTTTTATTTTGGGGTAAAAATACTTCTGTTATATAAAAGGTATGAATCAAGTACGCTCATGAAATTGGCAGTACTTTTGCCAAAATAATTATTGTCACTTCCATGTTCATTGTCGTTAAACCAAATATGATTAATCAGCTTAATGTCGGTTCCATGATTTTCCTTCAGAATGATAGCTTCGCATTTCAACTATGAGCGGTGATGAAGTGTAGAGGAGAGAAGCATCAAAATATGGTCGCCTTCTATTATTAATTTTGGCATAGTGTTCTAGAGCGAATTGAAAGATTATTTAAGTGAAAGACATTTTTTTTTTTTTGGGTTACTGTGATGTGGTTTTTTTCCATTATTATTTTTTTCTGTCGAATATTTTAATGTTTTAATCAGCTGTAAACATGCACATACTGATAAGTAGACAAAAAAAGAAAAAATGATAGATATCATCATCATGTTATCTATGGAAAACAATAGTCCAAACTGGGGATTGCTATTACCATATTATTAATATTTTCATTGCCTTTGTTTTTGGGGCCGAAGGCAGAGGCGAACAGAGGATCCTTTAGCTTTTGCTTGTTTCCATCATGCATGAAAAAATATTGCCTTGTTGAAGTTGTGTTGTTAAAATACAAGCTAAATACTTTGTGAATATGATTTCAGTAAGAAAGAATAAAAAAAGACAGGGTAAAGAGAGACCATGAAGCCAGCGTAGATGACAAAAATAAAACAGAAGAGCAAGGAACTCATTATCAATGTCAAGCCTTGACGATTATCGGCCTTGAAATTTTGCTATTCAAGCCCTAGCACTTTCAATAGAGCTAACATGGCAGAAAATTAGCGATTATGGTAGACTATAGCAAGTAACGCCATTCATAAACTGAATGTGCAGGGAGTTGATGAAAAGGATATGAACTGTGGGACCTAATTATAAATTGAATGATATTATGAAGATTAAAATATTAATTTTCCATAATTTTATTTTCTAAACTATAGGGACTAATTTTAAAGTGACTAACTGAGTTGCATGGAATCAAACTTTAAGAATTGAGTTACAACCGGATCAAAACTATAGGAACTGAGTTGCACCAAGTTAAAGTTTAAGGACTGAGTTACAAATAACTTAAAACCCTTAAGGACTAAAAGATTAATTTTCCCAATAAATTAAATATACAACTGACTTCTCCTCACCTTCCATTATATATATATATATATTCAACTAATTTATTTAGTATTCTTTCTTTGACTCCAAGAAGCGGTAAACAAAGCAAAATTATTCACAAATAGGTTGGCCTTATAAAGTAAATAAACATTAAAAAATGGATGTTAATATATTCTCGCTATTTAATGACCTGTCCTTGATCCCACCAAAGAGGCAAATCAATTACGCAAAACTAGATTCAAGATGATTGTCATGAGATGTATCGCTAGCATATATATACTAATAGTGATGGCACTCAATGTATCATATAAGAACATTTTAATTTTTTAAACGATAAAATGGCTTTTTGGCTTCATCGTCAGGAACTCCTTTTCGTCTTAATTACTGGTCAAATAATATAACTTAAATGAAAACCGTTTGAACTTCTCAGGAATTTCAAGTATAAAAAATGACAAAGTGTAGTATTACCGCAAGAGCCATTAATTTCTACGCCTTCTCTCTTCTGAACCTTGTTCAAATTTGCCATGGGAGAAGCTCAAGATCAAGTGAAGCTTCCCAAAATAGGAATAGGTCTGTTAATAGTGTCCATAAATTTGCTCTCTCTTCCTATTCAGAAATAAGAATCACCCGGCAAAAAACTTGCTCCATATTCACACGTCTACTTTTCTTTTGTTTTTTGGGTCTGACACACGTCTTCTTATTCCGTTGTTTTGACACTTTCAGATGAACTTGTATTCTCATGAATTAATATTTTCATTCCTTTTCTTTTCAAGTATCAGAAGGAGCAATCGAAACAATTCCTAATTGGGGTAATGGTAATTTGTGGAGCCAATCAAACAGTAGTGATAAGCAACCTTCTGCTTTGACTTTCCTGTTTCCACATATTCTCTGATTTGCACATCAAAACTAGCCTTCAATGGCTTCTCCTTCTTCCTCGTTCTTCAGACTGATTCTTCTGCAGAATCCAACGGTGAAGTTCATCAGAAAATAAGAAGTATGTGATTGGGTTCACAGGCACAGTTGCCGCTGTGCAGCTGTGTGTGGATTGATGTTTTCTCTGACACAGCTTGCATTCAGCAAAGTCGTGAAATGCAAAAGTTTCAAGGGCCTTTTGGACATGATGGTGTATCCATCAGTTGTGGCATGTTTGGTAACAGTGATAGGGCTGCTTGGGAGTGGGGAGCTTAGAAGATTGAAAGGAGAAGGGAAGTTATGTGTTGACATACATTGAGCTTCATTGCTATAAAATGGCAAGTTCATCGAGTGGGTTGTTTGAGCTTGATTCTAGAAGTGTCTTCCTTTTCCTCTAATGCCTTAAACCTTTACATCAGTACTATTTCTTCTAGTTTTTAATATAAGAGCTAGTTGACTAATTTAAATAGATTAAAAAAGTTAGTTAAATTAGTTATTTATAATAAATGGGTGTTGTCTTTCCTAAAATGCCTTTGCTAATCATATACCATTTGATGAAATTTTTAATATGTGCAATTATTACAATGACTACTTCAGGAAAAAAAAGATAAATATGAGATACAAAATAAACTGAAATGGACCAAATTAAAAGTTAAACTAGTTCTTATATTAAGTACCAGTGGTTTTGTTTGACAAATGAATCAATACATTAAATAGAAGAAACTTGGAGTTGTGTCAATCCAAACTCCAAGGACTATGTTGTATGAAAAAAAATTAAATAAATTGATATTATTCAGATGCCAAAACGGGGTTCAAAGCTGTTCTCCAGTGGGATGCTGAGCTCCGCCGATATTCAACGTGGGGGCCAAGTCAATGGAAAATTATTTTTGAACAGTGCTGGAATAAGAATTTCCTAGAGAGTTGAGATTGATGGGTTTTTCCTTCATCACCCGCATTATTTTAAGCGTCGTGGAGCTCAAGATCTTTGAAATACTTTCTATTAAAATTAATGCCTGTTAATAATA